GGGAGTATCTTTGGATACTATCTACTTTTACTCCAAGTAAGCAATATCTGAGTACTTCTAACATTTACTCCAAGTAGCAAGATCTGAGTAACTTCTACTTGTACTGTTGCCCCAAAGACTAATGCATATACTAGAGTATACTCACTACTTTTACTCCTATACAAATTCTGAAATACTCCTTCACTTTTATCTCCAAGTACCAATAGTCGATACATTTATTAAACTATCTCCATGTAAATTATATAAGTCTGATCAATAAAATACATATACAAAACCCTTTGAATTCCGACTTCTTAACAGACTTGTGTTTCATTCCGCTAGTTCCTTGTGCGAAACTTGCCTAAAGAAAATGGAAACGACCAACCTTAGGTATGCATAACAGCTTCATGTATTGAATTCAGAGTATCATATCCATTTTTTGCTGTACTGCATCTTTGTACACAGGTACGGTGAGACGAATGATCCACCAGATGTCCCGTTTTACGGCCACCAAAAAGCAGTATTCCTCAATCCAATCCACACAATTCAGGAAGGTCTTGTCCAAGTCCTGACATGGGCATTCACACCCTGAGTTCGTCACACCTCCAATATATCTATCACATCCCCAGAAATCATAGGAACTGTGACGATCACACCAAAACTAAAAACATGCGCCCAATGAGCCATTAACTGCTTATATGATCCGTTAGCTGTTAGCCATCTGAATTCTTTGTTCAGCTGTTAGCACACCCCAGAGATCAGCCCAGCTCCTCCATATCTGTCAGAAACTGGAGAAAGGGTTTATGAAATGTACCCCAACAAATAGACGTCGTTCCTGAAGTGATGGTGAGAGCCGGGTATACTAGTCCCCTTTTTTAAGTGACTGAAGCTGCTATTTATTGGACACAACACACACACTTACGCGTATGAAGCGCAGGTCCAGTGAGAGGTCGGACGGTGTAGTCGGACAAATAACTGTGGGCTTGCCGCCGTCTGCTGACTCGAACGGATCTCTGGAGACTTGACACTGGGCGACACAGGAGACTGATGCACTGCACCACACACGCACACACACACCACACACACACACCACCAGTCAGCACAATTTCTGCAATCCAGCAACCTCATTTTTATAGTCAGGTGCGACTCAAATAACCTCAGTTACATAAACCATGACAACAAGTGGAAAACTGCTGCACGCTTAATTTTTCAACTGCATGATAAATGCTCAACTTGACAGAACATGTTAGAGGGAATCAACCTCAAATAAACTTCACCAGTACTTATTTGTCTTATTGTACAAAATAGCTGCTGTGGATCCCTCCCACAAGGTTGATTACAAAGTGAGTATCATCAGAGAAATATACAAGACGTGTTCTCTAGTTTTTGAAATGCTGTAGTTGAGATTTTGCTGGCTATTCTTATGAACCACCTTTCGTGGTCCGCAGTCTGTTTTTGATCGTCACCTGAAGACTGGCAGGCGTGAGCGCAGACACGCCGTAGTATGTAAACGCTCCGTTCGTGCAAACTTCAGGGCCCTCTTTCCCGATTTCGACCGTCCACACAAGACCCTGAATACAGACAGCAAGCATGTTTAATGTTGAAAGATTTGCGGGTATAATAAAGAAAAAGTATACTATAAACTCCCAAAGATGTAAAACAGCGCCAAGAGATGTGAAAAGGGGTGTCTGCTTTTTGACAAGCCGGGTCATGTTCTTTCTTGCTGAATCTGATTAGAGGAAGTTTCTGGGGCCCATCCTTAAGTTTACTCATTAAGTTTAAAAAAGAGATGAAATCTTCTAGCTGAGAGATAATACAAGTGTATGTTTCCTCATAGGTATCTATAAACACTGTTTTAAAGTATGCTGTTAAACACATTAACCTGTTTTGTTAAGTTTTTATTTTATTTGATAGATTTATTCAATATGTACTGATCTTATCATGATTTGTTATTCTATACCACAATATTGTAGATGCTTATATTGAAGTATCCTGATATTTAAAACTGAGATCTGCTTGGAAAACTATTTGAAAGTCTCAAACTCATTTTGAAGATGAAAGTAAATCAACCAGTAAGTCAAAATGTCCCTTTTATATCTACATGTACCTCTTTTCTACAGTGACAGTTCATATCTTGTGGTTTGAAAGTATTCCTATAAAGTGAGTAAAGTACATTTGACTGAAATAAATGTGTGAATACAATGTGTGTGTCCCCACCTGCAGCAGCAGGATGAAGTAGTCCACCGGGTGGTTGCGTGTGTACAGGTAGTGAGCCGCGCTCAGACGGTTGGTCGGGTCAAAGTGCACTTCCTGGTTGACACTGGGGTGACGGAGCAGGTGAAACAAGATCTTCTCAGAAACACGTCCAGGGCTGAAGTGTGACACCTCTGCAGGGGTCAAAGGTAAGAGATACACGATATGGTGAACTGTCAAATATGTCTATACAATCAGACGCCATATAACTTCTTTGCAGTTTCGTTGTCCTATTATCCTGAGCCTTCGGCTGAGTGGTAATAAGTGACAGGAGCATAATGATGACATGTGTGGGGTTAAACTGTGACTCATTTAATCAGTGTGAGGAGCGTGAGCAAACACAACCTCACTCAGCCCGTCCCATCACACACACACCCAGAGGCGCGGGAAGGTATTTTGAGTGGGGGTGCTGAGGTGCTGGACTCCAGTGAACACTATTACGGGCACTATAGAGCACGCACAAAAAAACTCCCCACACGCAAACACACAGTAAACCCGCGACTGTTACAATGAAGGCTCGATAATCAGCTCACGGCATATAGGCAGGGGTAAAGTGCTATTTTTTACGAGCGAGTGGGGGAAGCCGGACTCCACCTCCCCTAGGGGGGTCCGGGGGATGCTCCCCGGAAGATTTTTTTTTAAATATTGAAGTTAAAAGCATCAATTCCCTGGTTTGACACTTTGAGAGCAAACATTTAAGAGATCTATGGGATACCATCTCTCAACACCGCCGGATGGAACACAACTGTGTAAGCAGATGGTTCCTTTTTTTCTTTATGGATTATTTTACAAATCCTCCCTTTTCAAACCTGTATTACTTGTTTTATGTCAAAAAGTTATTCAAAATTGGTTATTCTGCGGCCCTTTATATCGATCATTATAGTTTTATAACATAAGGATCAAGATGAGAAAAGGTTTCCTCGGAAATAATCACTTATGAATATTATTTGGACAAACGTATGACAGACCCACAGTATTGAAACCTAGGGAGTAGATTTGTAACTAATCCATAACAGATCAAGGAGTCATCTAGCTTACAGTTGTGTTTCATCTGGGTGTTGTGAGAGATGTATCCATAGATCTCTTAACATGTGCTCCAAAAGTGTCACCGATGATGCATTTTAACTTCGATATTCAAAAAAACTCTTCACAGGGGGAGACTCCCCCCGGACCCCCTAGAGAGTGAGGTCGCTCCATCTCGTAAAAAATAGCACTTTACCCCTGCCTATATGCCGTGAGCTGATTATCGAGCCTTCATTGTAACAGTCGCGGGTTTACTGTGTGTTTGCGTGTGGGGAGTTTTTTTGTGCGTGCTCTATAGTGCCCGTAATAGTGTTCACTGGAGTCCAGCACCTCAGCACCCCCACTCAAAATACCTTCCCGCGCCTCTGGGTGTGTGTGTGATGGGACGGGCTGAGTGAGGTTGTGTTTGCTCACGCTCCTCACACTGATTAAATGAGTCACAGTTTAACCCCACACATGTCATCATTATGCTCCTGTCACTTATTACCACTCAGCCGAAGGCTCAGGATAATAGGACAACGAAACTGCAAAGAAGTTATATGGCGTCTGATTGTATAGACATATTTGACAGTTCACCATATCGTGTATCTCTTACCTTTGACCCCTGCAGAGGTGTCACACTTCAGCCCTGGACGTGTTTCTGAGAAGATCTTGTTTCACCTGCTCCGTCACCCCAGTGTCAACCAGGAAGTGCACTTTGACCCGACCAACCGTCTGAGCGCGGCTCACTACCTGTACACACGCAACCACCCGGTGGACTACTTCATCCTGCTGCTGCAGGTGGGGACACACACATTGTATTCACACATTTATTTCAGTCAAATGTACTTTACTCACTTTATAGGAATACTTTCAAACCACAAGATATGAACTGTCACTGTAGAAAAGAGGTACATGTAGATATAAAAGGGACATTTTGACTTACTGGTTGATTTACTTTCATCTTCAAAATGAGTTTGAGACTTTCAAATAGTTTTCCAAGCAGATCTCAGTTTTAAATATCAGGATACTTCAATATAAGCATCTACAATATTGTGGTATAGAATAACAAATCATGATAAGATCAGTACATATTGAATAAATCTATCAAATAAAATAAAAACTTAACAAAACAGGTTAATGTGTTTAACAGCATACTTTAAAACAGTGTTTATAGATACCTATGAGGAAACATTGTATTATCTATCAGCTAGAAGAATTATCTCTTTTTTAAAACTTTATGAGTAAACTTAAGGATGGGGAGAAACTGTCGTTAAATCAGATTCACAAGAAAGAAATGACCGGCTTGTAAAAAGCAGACAGTTTTACATCTTTGGGAGTTTATAGTATACTTTTTCTTTATTTAACCCGAAAATCTTTCAACATAAACATGCTTGCTGTCTGTATTCAGGGTCGTGTGGAGGTCGAAATCGGGAAAGAGGGCCTGAAGTTTGAGAACGGAGCGTTTACATACTACGGCGTGTCTGCGCTCACGCTGCCATCTTCAGGTGAGATCAAAAACAACTGGACGACCACAGAAGGTGGTTCATAAGAATAGCAGCAAAATCCTCAACTACAGCATTCAAAACTAGAGAACGTCTTGTATATTTCTCTGATAGATGACTCACTTTGTAATCAACCTTGTGGGAGGGATCACAGCAGCCTATTTGTACAATAATGACAAATAGTACTGGTGAAGTTTATTTGAGGTTAGATTCCCCTCTAACATGTTCTGTCAAGTTTGAGCATTTATCATGCAGTTGAAAAATTAAGCGTGCAGCAGTTTCCACTTGTTGTCATGGTTTATGTAACTGAGGTTTATTTGAGTCGACACCTGACTATAAAAATGAGGTTGCTGGATTGCAGAAATTGTGCTGACTGTGTGTGTGTGTGCGTGTGTGTGCAGTGCATCAGTCTCCTGTGTCGACCCAGTGTCAGTCTCCCAGAGATCCGTTCGAGTCAGCAGACGGCACCAGCCCATCCAGTTATTGTCCCGACTACACCGTCCGAGCTCTCACTGACCTGCAGCTCATACGCGTAAGTGTGTGTGTGTGTGTGTTCAGTCACTTAAAAAGTCAGACACCCTCACACTCAGCAGGTCACCCTTGAAGAAGAGATCAATGATCTCAATGGGATTCACCTGCATAAATAAAGGTTTGAAATGAAATGAAGACACATATTTTTGGGATGAACTGGATGTCCGACTCAAGATGGAGCCCAAAAAATACTCATCAACATGAACTGTTATGCAAAAGGACCCAATTAGGGATCAAACATATTTATTTTATACGACTATAATTATGGATATAATTATAAATGTATCACTTTGTTTAACAAATGAATATACCTGTACATATTGAATTCCCAGAGCAACGTGAATCCAAATCCACAGGGAGGAATACAGATTGTAAACAGCAGTCAATAAAGAGTGAAATACTCATTCTTACACCCATAGCGTAGCTTTTTCACATTACCCCCCCAACAGTCAAGATTATCCCCCTACTCGAGTGTTGCCATGACAATCTTAGGTCTGTTTTACTTTCTTGGTTTGAGACTTACAGACAAGATTTGGGCAACACATCTCTTAAAATATTGTTTGCCTCCTTAATGTGTTTCATTATTAGCTGCTTGTCAATGGCACCTGTTGAATAGAGACGTCAAAAGTACATATATTAAAAAATAAATAAATTTGTTTGTGGTTATAATGCATTTTCTGCTTGCATATATTTCTATACACTTCTATTCACATTCCAAATCGATATTAAACAGTCTGACAGTCTTTAATTAAAGTGTGATGTTGAGTCAACCTGCTCAATCCCTTCTTATGTCCGTACACAATATATAGAGTTTAGAGCGTTTCACTCTGAGGAAACATTTATTTCATTTTGTTTTTCTAGGTGACACGTCTGCAGTATCTGAACGCTCTCATGGCGTCCCGGGTCGGTCAGAGTCCTGATCCTCCAGAGATCAAGATCCTGCCCAACAGTCAGACCAAGCTGCTCAACGAGAAGAACACCACACAGCAAGGTGAGTCCGTCTGAACCACGTCTGATCTCTGCTGCAGTTTGGTCTCAAAACTAACATTTTATCACTGATAAATCGATAAAACTCTTGAATTTAGGGCTGGGCAATAAAAACTAAATTAAATATTGCACAACTTTTGACTGAATACCTCAATATCAATATTACGGCAATTATTGTGGGGGTCATTATTTGAGCTTTCACAAAACATTTACACAATACGATTTATAATTATTAATATTCAGTATCATTGATAAAGGGACTAAGTGGGTAAAGGCAAATAAAAGAAGAGGAATACAAAAATTCCATATATGATATGCAAATTTCAGACAATATCTAGTCTCCTATCACGATGTTGATATAATATCGTTATATTGCCCAGTTCTATTTGAATGGAAACGTCTTTGTAGTACTCTTACTGCCTTTCCCTGTTTGCTTTCAGCTGATTATAATACTTTCTCTCTCTTTTCTTTTCCTTCCTTGCGTGCCTCCATGTCTTCTTCTCTCTTCTCTGGCTGTGCAGCGTTCCCTGTAAACTTTTCAATCTTTGACTCCATTGAGAACTACTGTTAGTTTTATTTGTGCACGAGGTAAATTAAATGCAGACACAGACTGTACATACAGCACACTCACTAACACACACTCCTCTTGAAAGTGTAACGGGACTCTTTTTAACCTTTCAAATCTGCCGTCCCAGTGGGTGCAGTTTATTTTCATAAGAATTATTTGTGTGTGTAAGTGTTTGTGAGGCTCTATAACCTTTATTTCTCCATCCTGTCTTCTTCCTAGTTTCTGCTTTTTCCTGAAATCATCTCACTTCTTTCTGTTGGGTATGTAAATGTTGTGTCATATCTGGTTAACACAGAAATGTCAGGATTTTCTATCAATAAAGATAATATTATAACTTTAAAAGGATCAAATGTGTATTCTGGCATCCATAATGGAGGCTCAGCGACAGGAAGCCAAAGAAAGTACCTGAGGTGAAAGGGACAAGTGCATAGATGTAAATACAGGTCTGAATAACTGCAGAACTTGCTTAAGAAAGGTCTTATTTTTAAGTTTTCTTCATTATAAAAGTACAATCAAGCCTATTTTCAATTTAAAGTAAATCGATTATCCTTTCATCTTAAGTGGTTCTGGAAATCATTACATCAAAGCAATTGTTACCCTATTAAAAAAAAGTGTAATCTCTTTTAAGATATTAAAAAAATGATGGGGTAATGCTCTTTGGCAAAAGTTTCTTTTAAACCTATTCAAAACAATACACTTATAAATCCTAATCAGTGTTTCCCACAGAATTTGATTCTATTTGTGGGGTCACC